TCCTTTTTGAGGAAAATTTTAAAGAGTTGTACTAACCATGTGAATTTTGACATGACTGGTTGTGATTGGTTAAACTATGCTACTGTTTTATGTGTACAAAAGTTATATATAAAAATTAAAGGTTATATCATGATGTTGTTCCTTTTGTAGTTGAGAAGAAATAATAAGTAAGGGCAAGACGTAACGTACAAGTAGGGGAAGAACAGAATAGGCCCCTTGTTGACCTAATTTAAATAATAATGAACCAATTAGAAGAACAACAAAAAAACAATGCAAGAGTTACGAGCAATCCAAACTCGTCAGGAACAAGAAAGGGAGGTTGCAATATCAGTAACATAGTAGCCATAGCATAGTTACAACAACTTGGGCAAGGAATAACCGGGATAGGCCAACCAGTCCAACCCCAATCCTAGGAATAAGTAATAGAGCAAGCAACGCCTGCAGGAAGAATGGGACAAATTGCAACAGTGGATTACGTGCTTTTACAAGCATAAGCCACTAATGTTGAGGGCACACTAGATGTGCAAATAGCCAAGGACTGGATTACCCAACTAAAGAAGATCTTTAGAATGATGAATTGCTCATCTAAGACCAAAATATAGATGGTAATCTATAAGTTAGAAGAAGAAGCGGATAGATGGTGGAAGAACACGGAGACAATTCTCCAAGTGCATGAGGCCCTGATCTCTTGGGAATTATTTAAGAATCAATTCTTCCAGAAGTATTTTCCAAGATCAGGAACAAATGAGAAAGAAGTGAAGTTCCTCATTGCAATGTAAGCGGAGAACGAATATTTTGATGAATATTTGGCGAGATACATTAAGTTATCTCAATACTCCACCTATCTGTAGCACATGAATGATCAATGGTGATTCACAAAGAAAATGATTAGGGGCCTAAGAATGGATCTGAAGGAAAAAGTTAACCTTGAGGCCGGTTGAAAAATTTTAATAAAATGGTGGAAGCTTGTTGAATCACCTAGAATAGTCAGAGCTATTATTGCCATACCAAGGCAACTACAAGAGCTAATAAACCTTAGGTGAGGACAATGACTGAGGAAGCTTCCTACACTAATAGGAAGAGAAAACTCGATTTTAACAAAAGCCCAAAAAGAGCATATGTCGAGGAGGACAAAACACTTTTAAGCAGGCCAAAATTTAAGTTTTCAATATGAAAAAACCGGACATTTTGCGAGGGAGTGTCCACAAGATATTGACAGTTCTTGGCTGCAGACTCAAGGCCGAGTTAGCCCTAATGCAGAAGTAGGCTCATAAGTTGCTCGAGGTGAGCTGAGGTATGATCAATATAAGTAATTGTATGGGATACAATGTTTGATTCGGGCACAAGCTATCCATTTATATTACATGATTATGCTAGGCGATTAGGTTTTACTGTTGATACATTGCCATGTGATTTGTGTATTTTTACTCCTATTGGCATTGGAGTAGTAACCTCTGGTGTGTATTTGAACTATATTGTCTGGTATGCATAATTACTATACTGTTCTTGATCTAATATGTATGTCATTTTGTGATATTGATTTGATAATTGGCCTAAAATTGAATTTTATTAGTGAGGCCCAAATAGAGAAATGTTGAGGTAGGATTGCCAAGGATACATGGTAACTTTTCGATGTAGGCAGAGATAGAAGAGGAAATAGAGGAAATGCCAATGATAAGGAGACGTTCAGAGAAATTCCCAAAAAAGATTAATGAACTTCCATCGGGGAAAAAAAAAAAGAGGGAAGCAGAATTTATGCTTGAGGGGATGCCCAAAATTGGTCTAATTTTCAAAGGCTGCTCGCCGCATGACTCCTAATAAAATGGCTGGGAGTATAGTAGGCCCAATAGAAGAAGGAGTCTATCCCCTAGTAGGGAACCAAAGTGACAACTTAAACCTCTAGTAATCAACGTGACCTCGATAGAGGCAAGATAATAAAATAAAATGTTTAAGGTTTGCTTAAATCCCTGAATAAGAGGTAAAAACTCCTCAGGGATGGTAAACCAAGAGGAATAAGAACTATATGATATTGAATAAAGAATTAATGATGAGTAGATACGGCACAACAAGATGATAAAATATTTTCTATATAAGGTGATTAGCGTATGAGCACTACAACAAAATGTGTTATTTACTTCCCTCGTTCATGTCTGTTCTTAAAAACAGAAGAGAAGAACCTACATATTCTCCTTTGTTTTGAAAGACAGAGGAGAATACAATAGCCTTCTTGTCTATTTCTTTGAAACAGACGAGAAGATATAAGCTTCTCATCTGTTCAGGCAAAACAGACAAGAATTTCTCGTTTGTTTAATTAAAATACATGAGAAATTATTGTCTGTTTACGGAAAATAGAGGAGAACTTCTCGTCTGTTTAAGCCAAACAAACGAGAAGCTGTCATCTTCTCATATGTTTGGCTTAAATAGACAAGAAGGTAGCCACCTTCTGGTTTGTTTTAGTAGAAACGGACGTGAAGGTGGCTCTGTTTTGAAAAAAAAATTTGCCGTACCAGCTACCACAAAACTCTTATACGAACCACCAGGCACGCGGGAACTCTAAAGCTCTCCCTCTCATTTTCGTCTTCTACCTACTGCAAATCTTTGAAACTCTCCCTCTCGTTTTCGTTGTAGCTCTCAAAGCTGTCGTTCTGCAGCTCTCCCTTCACATGGTGAATGAAGGTTCTCACTGTCATTCTGCATGCTGTGAACAGAGAGGCTTGATGCAGTGAACTTAGCTCTACACTGTGAAGACAACAACACAGTTTACATGCAACAGCAAGCTCGCCATCCTCCTCCTCTCTCCAGGCGTGATACTCTAACTTAAAGGTAAGCCGGAAGAGTCTCTACAGTGAAGGTAAGTTCAAGAGCAATGTTCCTCTTTTAGTTCTTTTATACGTATAAGTTAGTTTAATGTGTTGTGGGTTTGTGTAAGTTGAGGAATCTTGAATTGGTTTGTAAGGTTGTTGTTTAAATTTTTATTAAAGAATTGTTTTTAAATAGTTTTAAATTTGTATACATTGATTGGGTAGCAAATTCAAAGATTTCAAGCCTTATTAATACATGTTAGAAAATTAACGCATACAAGGTATTTGTCAAAATATCTAAGAGAGATTGCATTTAGATTGTTTCCTATATGTATTGAATTTAGATAAGGATTGGGTATATATATTAAATTATTAACGGATCGAAACGGCCTAACTTAGACTGCCTAAAGCCACCAACCAGGCCGGTAGAGTGTCTGGGTGACGGCCAGGCCGATCTTCGGGTTTCAAATCCTTAGTCCCAGTGCCACATTCTTCCTGAAAATTAATTATAACTCCAAGAAAACAATCACGTAAGTAACGGATTAGTTCTTCCTCAATGAATGAAGCATTCCACACTCCGTTGGACGCCTTCTGCTATTGGGGAAGGGCTTCTCTCCTCTACCTTCCCGCCCGCTACCTTCAATGCTGCCATTTTGCTGGATAACGGAGGAATGATGGAAGCTGATGACCTGCTGACACTCGCATAAATGGAAAGATGAAAACTTAGTTTTTCAGTGGGCAAAAAGAAAAAGAAAATTTAGTTTTTCAATTACAAACTATCTATTTATCATCCGTAAATTATTCTACTCCCATTTTATAATAATCTATTTGCAATTAAAACACAATTAAATCTTAAAAAAATTTATTCATCAATCATTATAGTTCATCACGTCCTTTTAATTTTCTAATTAAATTCTTATAGCTTTTTCTTTTTAATCATCAATTGAATAGCTCTTAAATTGAGGATAAAGAGAGAATTTTGTAGGGAAATATCGTCGTGGAGCTTGGAAACCATTAAAAGCACTTAAAAGTAATATTTTTATGCAAGTCAAGATAAAATTTATCTCATATATTTATCTCAAATATCATAAAATCACTTTGAAAAAATTAATCCAAATACACATGATGACCTTCATTCAAAATAATCCCCCATTTAATAGATTATGAGTATATAGGCCAATGGCTAGAACTGAAAAGTTGAAAAATTATAGGAATCTGCTAAAAAAAAATATAAGGAACTGGTGAAAAATTGAATAGAACCATAATGATTGGTAAATAAATATTTTTAAGATTTAATTATTTTCTAATTAAAAATATAATTAATTTGATTATTGTGAAATGAGATTAAAATAATTTATGGATACCAATAAACTTTCGGTTAAGTAGCAAGTGGCCTCACTCCCTATAAGCACACTTTTTAGGAGAGATAAAAACCTTTTTTGTTCTAAGCGTATACTTGATTAGGAATATATTTTAAAAAAGAGAACATTTATTTATTATAAATAATTAATTTTTTAATTTATTTAAATTATTTCATTAACCCTTATATTATTACTACTTCCGGTTCTAATTATAAGATTTCGTTTACAGTATGTAAACGAGCTACTACCTCCGGTTCTTAATATAAGGTTTCATTTGACTTTTATTTTGGTCCTAAATATGTTACTCCAATTTACTTTGTCTCTCATATTTATATATATTTTTTCAAGATAGTTTTTGTAATAATGATAATTTTAGCCAATACATTTGATTAGCTAGGATGTTTTTAGAAAAAAAAAATACCTATTTACTATAAATAACTAACTTAACTTTTTTTTAATCTATTCAAATTAATCAACTTTATAAGACGGGAGGATCGAAAGTAGTATTATAAATATTATAAATATAATCGGTAGCAAATTACTACCTCCGGTTCTTAATATAAGACCTTGTTTGACTTTTATTTTGATCCTAAATATAAGACCTCAATCCACTTTGTTTTTCATATTTATACATTTTTTCCAAAGTAATCCTTTTAATAATAATAGTTCTAGTCAATACACTTGATTAGCAAAGATATTTTAAGAAAGACAACACCTATTTAGGACAAATAACTAACATAACTTACTTCTTTAATCTCTTCAAATTAGTCACATGATTAAAAGGTCGTATTAAGCAGACGAGGTTTCAGCTTTCCATTTACGCCAACGCCAGTGTCAGTGTCAGCGGGTCATCAGCCTCCATCATCCCTCCGTTACCCAGCAAAACGGAAGCGTTGAAGGCGGCGGACAGGCAACGGACGGGAAGATAGAGGAGAGAAGCCGTTTCCCTGCCGTTGTCAGCCCTGCGTGGTTGTTCTCGGGCAGGTGGTGAAGAAAGTTCGAATCCTATACCTTTTTCTACTCTAGAATCCGGTGAGATTGATTTGTTCAGTCTGCCTTTGGATATAGATTTGAAGTTATTCCCTACGTCATCTGTTGCCTGCGTGATTGTTATTGCTTTGTTTTAAATTTCTCATTTTAATTTGGCTTTGAATCTGGTTATTTAATCGTTTGAATATTGACGCTTTTGAATTTGGGAATATTTACTGATTGAGTTTAATTGTTTTAACTAGTGTTTGCTTGAATGTTGTAATTGGCTATGATACTTCTTCTGCCCTCTTCATGTTGATTACTAGCGCTTGCATGCTTTGGATTGTGTTGTTTTGAAATGTTGGATTTGTTGAGTATTGGCATTCTGTTTATTAATCTTTTCATGTTATCATCAAGTTAGAAAATTCTCAAGGTATTTGTGATGTACGATATTGTACACGACTCGGCTTGAGTTGTGTCAAAGCATCTGGAACAAAAATTTAAAGGGTGTTATATCAACTATGCATATTTCAAGGATTTTAGTGGGGGCAGTGTAATACAGGTTTTGACTTCCTCCATCTTGAGCTTTTTACCATCTCTCTGCATCCTCAATCTTGAACTTCTTCTTTCTGTCTAAAGAAGTATTCTTCTTACACAGCCAATCGCTTGTGCTCTTGGTTGGCCCAACCGGCTGTCTGGTTTTAATTTCTTTTTAATGAACAGGGAATTTGGTTCTTCCAAGAATAAGATAACGGCAGTGATTGAAACTGTGTTCTCCTTCCCTCCTCTGTTCTCATTAGCCAATAAGATGCCCCTGTGTCATAGTCACGGTTGAAGACAATGATAAATCTTGGTGAAGGTGAAACAAAAGTCTTAAATTTGATGCTTTTCTAATTTTGGCAGCTGAGCAAAAGAAGGTGCTGTATAACGCATGGGTATGCATACTGTTTTCTGTTGTAACTCAATTTGGTTAGCATCCAATCATGGTGGTTCCCTTTTCTGTTGGTCTCTTCAAACAAGTGTTAAATGCAAGAAAAGATCTAACACTTTTAATTTCTCCATGGATTTGATTAAGAACAAAGGTTTTAAAGAAGTGGATCCAGAATGTGATTGCAAAATTAGGTTGTTTAGGAGTTTTGATGGTCATAGCCATGGAGAGGAGATTTCTTGTGACTTGTACAACCAGTTAATTGTCGAATGTTGTAAAGGAGGTGAACTTAATGGGGCCATGCCTCTCCTGGCTCAGATGGAGGCTATGGGGTATCAACTCAATTCTCTTTCTTATAGCTATCTGATCAAAGCCCTTGGAAATGTTGGGAGGACTTTAGAGGCTGAAATGGTTTTCCAGGAAATAATCTATTCTGGCTTTAAACCAAGATTGAATTTATACAATGTTTTGCTTAAAGGGTTTTTGAAGAAAGGTCTGTTGGGACTTGCACTACGGCTTTTACAGGGAATGGATGATATGGGCTTGAGGCCAAATCAGGAAACTTATGAATACTTTTTAGATTACTATGTTAATGCTGGACGGTTAGAAGATACTTGGGCAACGATCAATGAGATGAAGCAAAATGGATTTCAACTAAGTTCATTTGTCTATAGCAAGGTTGTTGGCCTCTATCGAGACAATGGAATGTGGAAGAAAGCTATAGGCGTTGTGGAAGAAATCAGAGGCAGGGGTGTTTCTTTAGACAGGCATATTTATAACAGTATTATTGATACATTTGGGAAATATGGTGAATTAGATGAAGCTTTAGAATTGTTTGAGAAAATGCAAAATGAAGGTGTAAGGCCTGATATAATAACATGGAATTCTTTGATTAAGTGGCACTGCAAAGCTGGTGATCTCACAGAAGCCCTTCATTTGTTTATGGATATGCAACATCAAGGATTATATCCTGATCCAAAAATCTTCATTACCATTATTAGCTGCTTGGGGGAGCAGGGAAAATGGGATACGATAAAGAAAATTTTTGAAAGCATGAGATGCAGGGAAAATAACATATATGGGGCAGTTTATGCTGTTTTGGCTGACATTTATGGGCAGTATGGGAAATTTCAGAATGCTGAGGAGTGTATACAGGCACTGAAATCCGAAGGTCTTCTAGTTTCATCAAGCATTTTTTGTGTGTTGGCAAATGCTTATGCTCAGCAAGTAAGCTACTTCCTTTTACTTGTTCATTGCTTTTCTGCCTTTTACTTCGATATATTCATAAGATAATTTATGCTTGGATATGCTGATCACACCTTTTTTTGGTTTATCTATTTTTATTTTGGAAATGGTGCTTGATTTGGATGAACTGATGCACATGTATAAATATATGAAGTTCTAGGGAGTTGTGCTGATTACCCATGGCTTGAATATGATTTGATGGCTTATACTCTCAATTTTTTCTCCCTATCAAGTGGAATATATATAAACTGTTCATTAAGTAATTAAAGTTCTATGAATATTGTAGTAAAAGGAATATGAAAAATAATTCTCTTGTCTTTCATTGATCAGAATATACATATATATATACAAGTGAGGGGAGCCTCTGCATTAATGGCTCATTATGATAATATCATATCCTATCAAATCCTAATCATAATTACATAATATTTACATATCAAATCATATCATATCTCTACACTCCCCCTCAAGTTGGAGCATAAATGTTAATCATGCCCAACTTGTCACACAAATAGTCAACACGAGTCCCATTCAGAGCTTTAGTCAAAAGGTCACCTAATTGATCACTAGAACGCACATATCCAGTGGAGATGAAGTTCTCTTTAAGCTTATCTCTGATAAAGTGACAATCAATCTCAATATGTTTGGTACGTTCATGGAACACAGAATTAGAGGCTATATGTAGGGCAGCCTCATTGTCTCACCACAACTTTGCTGGCAAAGTGGTTTTGAGGCCAACTTCCTTTAATAGCTGATATATCCAGATTATCTCACATACAGACTGTGTCATAGCCCGGTATTCTACCTCTGCACTTGATCTGGACACCACATTTTGCTTCTTGCTTTTCTAGGATACCAGATTCCCGCCCACAAAGACACAATATCCTGTAGTAGACCGTCTCGTGGCCTTTGATCCACCATGATCCGCATCACAGAAGCACTCAATGTCTGTATGGCCATGATTTTTGTATAATATCCCACGACCTGGACATCCCTTCAAATAATGTAACACGTGCTCCAAGGCTTCCCACTGTCTGACAGTCGGGGATGCCATGAACTGGCTCAGTACACTGACTGGATAAGTAATATCCGGACGAGTTACAGTGAGATAGTTTAACTTGCCAATCATTCTCCTGTACCTCTCAGGATTCTTAAATGGTTTGCTCTTTTGAGCCTCAAGCATCCGTTTCTCAGCATCAAGAGAGTCATCGAGCGGTATGCTCCCATCAGCGTCAAGGAGTGGGTTGTGAACCATAGGAAAATTAGTTGGTGCTGCTCCCAACTTTCCAGTTTCCTTCAGTAGGTCAAGAACATATTTGCGCTGTGTCAGTAATATGCCCTTCTTGCTTCTCATAACTTCAATACCTAGAAAGTATGTTAGAGAGCCCAGATCCTTGATCTGAAAGTGGGAATTAAGAAAGGACTTGAGAGACGAGATGCCTGAACCATTACTGCCTGTGATCACAATGTCATCTACATACACCACCAAGAGAATCATGCCAGCCATTGTTCTTTGATAAAACACAGAATGATCGCACTTGCTTTGGCTCATGCCAAATTTCTGTACAACAGTACTGAACCGGTCAAACCATGCACGAGGACTTTGCTTCAAACCATACAAGGACCTCTTAAGGCGACATACTTTCCCACGCTCCCCCTGAGCAACGAACCCAGGTGGTTGCTCCATATAGACCTCTTCATGGAGATCACCATGCAAGAAGGCATTTTTAATGTCTAACTGATGTAGATCCCAATCATAAGTAGCAGCCAGAGAGATGAATAGATGAATAGATGAGAGTTTAGCAACAGGAGAAAAGGTCTCGGAATAGTCAATGCCATAGGTTTGTGCATAACCTTTAGCCACAAGGCGAGCCTTAAGGCGGTCAAGTGTGCCGTCAGCCTTAGTTTTCGGAGTTAACACCCATTTACAACCAATGGCCTTTTTGCCTGCCGGTAAATCGACCAGGGTCCATGTACCAGCCCAATCAAGGGCTGCCATCTCCTCTTCCATTGCAGCACGCCAACCTGAGTGGGCCAAGGCTTCACGAATAGTTCTGGGCACAGAGATGGTATCGAGGGAGGCAACAAAGGAACTGGACACAGGAGACAAGTGGTCATAGGAAACAAAAGAGGAAATAGGATGGGCACAAGTACGTTTACCTTTGCGAAGGGCAATGGGTAGATCAAGAGAGGCATCTGGGTCTGGAACAGGAGGTGTCTTAGGATTAGGGTCAGAATGAGGTTCAGTGTTGCTCAACACAAGATCTGATGGCGAAGTGGACAAGGGAGGAATAGAAGCTGGTGTGGCGGTAGTAATCTCTTGTGACCGTCGTGTATACACACGATCAAATGGTTGAACGGGTGCGGGAGCGGGTGCTTGCGACGATGGTGATGGTGAAGTGACAGAGTATATCAAAATATCATCCTCCTCCGCAGGTGGAGCAGGTGGGGAAGGGCATGAGAAATATGGTGTGGACTCCTGAAAGGTGACATCTGCAGATACTAAATAACGATTGAGAGTAGGTGAGAAACAACGGTAACCTTTTTGGACCCGGGAGTATCCAAAGAAGACACATTTAAGAGACTTGGGGTCTAACTTTGAAATAGATGGACGTACATCCCACATAAAACAAACACACCCAAATATCTTAGGATCAATAGGGAACAAAGGCTTAGAAGGAAAGAGGGTAGAAAAAGAAGAGTTACCATCAAGAACAGAGGAAGGCATTCGATTAATAAGAAAGCATGCAATGGAGATCGCGTCAGCCCAAAATGGTTTAGGAACCTGCATTTGAAATAAAAGTGCACGTGCTACTTCAAGGAGGTGGTGATTTTTTCTTTCTGCAACACCATTTTGAGCTGGTGTATCAACACAAGACGACTGATGAAGTATACCATTTTGAAGCATGTAAGATTGGAACGAAGTAGAGAGATATTCCTTAGCATTATCACTTCGTAAGATGCGAATAGAAACATTAAATTGAGTTTTAATCTCAGCACAAAAGGCACAAAAATGGGAAAACAATTCAGAACGATGTTTCATTAAATATAACCAAGTTGTTCGGGAATAATCATCAACAAATGTAACAGTATTTAAAACCTGCTTTGGACTCTATAGGACAAGGACCCCAAACATCAGAATGGACTAACTCAAAAGGGGATGAAACTCGTTTATTGACACGAGACACTAAGGGAAGACGATGATGCTTGGCAAACTGACATGACTCACAATTTAAAGACGACAAATGCTGAAATTGAGGATAAACTCTCTTAAGAGAAGATAAAGACAAATGATCCAATCGACAATGAACTTCAAAGGGAGTATGACTGCTAGTGCAAGCTACCGCATGAGACACCCGATCATCCAGTATATAGTGCCCGCCAGATTCATAACCTCTACCAATAGTCCGCCTCGTCAAAAGATCCTGTATCAAGCAATGAGAAGGAAAAAGTGAGACCCAACAGTTTAGTTGACGAGTGAGTTTACTGGGAGATAGGAGATTAAAAGCAAGTTTAGGGACATTTAGCACAGATGACAAACGGATAGAGGGTGTGGGATTAACAGTGCCAGAATCGAGAACTTGAGACTGGGAACCATCAGCGATAGAAACACTTGACGGATTAGCAAAAGCATTATAAAAGAAGAGATGGCGGTTACCTGTCATATGATCAGTAGCCCCGAAATCTATGATCCACTTTGAGGAAGAAGAAGCAAGGGCAATAGCATTATTACCTGTTGTAGTCGTGGCACTCACAGATGGCGTAGCAGATTTTAACTGGGCATACTCAGCGGCAGAAATCGTGACTGTGTCACTGGCTTGTGTAGCCACGTGGGTAGAGTTATTTCGTTGCTGTTTATTCTGAAGTTTACGACATGTGCGTTTTGTATGCCCCGGTTCTTTGCAGTAATAACACACTATCCTGTTGGAGTCAGAAGGGGCTCCCCCTTACTTCGAACTACCACGGGTAGAACCCCCATGGTTATCATTAGGATTACGAGTCTCATAGGTGCCCTTACTGAGCAAGGCACTTATAGGAGCACTAGCAGCTGGTGGCAAGAGATTCTCAGCTCTCATTACTCTGGAGAACACATCTTGAAGGTCAGAAATCTCAGATCCAGATAAGATTTGAGAGCGAACTGTGTCGTACTCAGGTGGGAGACCAGTAAGAAAGCTCATAATAGCCATTTGCTCTTGTTGCTTATGCTGAACCTTCAAATCAGCAGTGAGAGGCATCAATACATTCAGCTCTTCATACATCCTCTTAAAGTCCATAAAGTAGGCTTTGAGAGGGTGATCCTGTTTCTCAGAACGATAGAAAGCTTTGCAAACCTCGTAAACACGAGAGATATTTCCTTTTCCTGAATACAAAAAATCTAAATAATCCATTAGTTCCTTAACCAATTCACAGTGATTAATAGAAGGAATAATCTCACTGTCAATAGAGTTACGGATCTGGAAAAATAGCCGCGCATCATCCCTCAACCAGGCCTTCTTTGAATCAGTTGTTGGGGGATCATCAGTCAGATGGTCTTCCTTCTCAATACTCCTCAAATAGAAATGAATGGTTTTACTCCAATCCAAATAGTTTACCTAAGTCAACTTGTGATTAGTAATTTTAGTAACAGTTGGGACAAGCTCCGAGACAGATTTAGTTTCAGCCATAGATGAAGTGCACTAACAAAAGAAATGCGATGGATTGTCACACAGGGACACAAAGCACGATACCTGGATCACCTAACGAATACCAAAGAAGTGAAACAGGCCAACAGCTACATAGGGAGCTGCAAACAGAGCCAAATGACACAAACAGAGTGCCGAAAGGCCAATGAACAGTGCAAAACGCGGATAAACAGTGCAGATCACCGGAAAATCAATGAACAGTGCGTCACCGCCGTACCCACACTAAGGTGATACCACAATCTCGCCGGAAAACAGGAGTCACCGTCAGTCGTTGAAGTCGTCGGTGAAACGGACGTGCCA